CTTCGTCTCGACAACAATCATTCCCTTCGATCTTGTTAACCTTCTATCATCATGCATTTCACTTTCCATTGGCAGTTGATACATACTTATTATATTTGTCGACAACAGTCACACACACACCACAATATCTATCTCCAGAGTATACAGAATTCATATATTTATCACCAAATACTGAATAGATATTTCACTAGATAACGGATATTTATTCTTACTTCATAAACAAACAAACAAATAAACTTAAAACTAATTCAACTTACGTAAATTGACTATTTAACACATTAAATAACAAATTGGTAAACTATTTACAAGTACTTAGTAGCATTTATTGATTATTGTAGTTAGAAATTTATATATTTTTTCTTTAGTTTATTTAAGAAATCAATCTGCATTTTCATCATGGACTACTGAACTTCTTTAGATAAGCATTGAAAGACATGAAGTTTTCAATAGTTCGTTCTTCCTAGGAGAGACTATTCATCAGTGTACATTCATGAATTAGGAACTTTGATCTTATGGAGAGCCCACTTTTCTAAATAAATACCTTGTCAGAAGGGGTTTGTGGAGATTTTTAGAAATTTTCAGATTGAAATCATGAGTCAGTTGAAGCTAGACCACCATTGAAAACCTGGAAACACTTGACGGCCGTTTCGTCCTAGTATGGGGCTCCTCAGCAGCGCGCATCCACGATCCCGCACCACGCGGGGCTCGAACCCAGGACCTACTGGCTTCGCGCGCGAGCACTTAACCATTAGACCACTGAGCCGGCATCCAACGGCGTGGTGCGGGATCGTGGATGCGCACTGCTGAGGAGTCCCATACTAGGACGAAACGGCCGTCCAGTGCTTCCAGGTTTTCAATGGTAGTCTAGCTTCAACTAACGCATGATTTCAATCTGTGAAAATATCTTTTGTATCAATATGTTACTAGTGTGATTTCGAACACTGTGTGTAAATCTACACTAAATTGGTTGGGTTTTGGATACAAATATATCACTTTTAACCGGATGAAAATAATCAGATTCAATGTAAATTATTCCGTCCAACATTATTCTTTAGAGAATTATAAAATGATGATAGACAATTGTTCGCATACGGCATACATTGAAAATCGGATATATTAATATTTATCTAACATAACATATTTTAATCAATACTACCTAATGCAACATGATATTGATTGGTGGATAACTTAATAGTATTTTTGTGCTGTTTGAGATACCCGACCGTTGCCGCTACCTTTATGTAGTGATCAAGCCTACCTATTGTAATGAATCAATCATTTCTCAAGGTTATGCCAGACAGGTTGGTTGAACAGCGGTAAGTCTAAAAGCAGCAAACCCAAGGTCCGAAGGTGAAGTCGTACTGATCAGAGTACAAAGGTGTTTTCTTCAGACAACCAGCATAACGACAACGCCGCTTTTTCAGTCCTTCTTTTATATATTACTACCATTGAAGTGACTACTTCTATGAATTTGCTGTTCATCTTGTTGTGCTAATGACGTGTAGCAACTTGGACTGATGCATATATATGCCTAATCCTACATTGTAGCTGACCGACTAATAGTATTTTTACGTTAACATTATATTTCCTCACACTTTTACAACTCAGTAACTGGAAACGGGACACTAGCAAAATGTCCAAAATGGAAAACGCATACCTAATGGTATCAAAACGGTGATTAGTTATTAGACAATCAATCATATCTGTTTACTCAGAGCTGATTTCACAAGAAAGTTTTTAAAAAAAATCTCAATTATAGATTATTTTGAGGTGATTAGCTTCTAAAACAGAGAACCAATGGGTCTAAAGCATTTTTGAAGGCACGATTCACGTGACTGACTTACTCAAGGACATGTAAGTTACCGCTGAGGCCTGTCGTAAATAACATTAAGGCAGCGTACATGCAGACCAGCACGAAGCTCACCTACGGAAACCTTGTTATGACTTTTACTTAATCCAAATGGTCAAATTAGGTCATCTCAGAATTAGTCGAGCGAATTCAGTGCAAGCTTATGACTTGCACTTACAAGGAACTCCTCGTTCACGGAGAATAATTGCAAGCCTCGACGGTGACGAAACACTTCGGCAAACCATTTCAGGCCAGGATTCCAAACTCGCTGGCACCGTCATTGTAATGAACCTGGGGCCCGGATACCTAAAGACAATATAGACCCGCTATTGCTCAATTTCGTGCAACCTAAATGTGTCGCTTGTTATTTCAGTTGAAACAATTTTGTAGTCTTCATCAGTTTAAATATAAACTTAGGCGTATATTTGTAAAATGCGCATGGGTCATCAAGTTCCGAAACGTTAGGTAACATGATTCACAGTCAGTTACAATGACGCTAATACATTCACTTATCTCCTGATATTTTGCTATTTAGTTATTTTATGTTGTTTCGCCATATATGTACGTGTAAACTAATTCGTTGAGGTTCGCGTTATTATCGTGACCAATCTCTAGAGACCTTGAATGATGTCTCAGAATCCTCCGCAATGGCTTACGCATATTCACTCTTCATTTTCCCTTATATTTTAATTTTTTCATAGATATTTTTTCTCACTAATTTGTAACTTTTTATTAATTAAATTCATGAGCCAATTCAAGCTAGACCACCATGAAAAACCTGGAAGCACTGGACAGCCGATTCGTCCTAGGATAGGACTCATCAGCAGTGCGCATCGACGATCCCGCCTCACCGAATTTGAACCCAGGACCTATCAGTTTTGCGCGTGAACGTTCAACTGTGGACCACTGAGCCGGTTGGCATTCAGTGGTTCACGAAATGGCACCACCGTCCACTTTTTCTATAATAGTATCTTGGATGCTTAATCTTTTCTATTATTATGACTGCTCAGTCAGTCAGTCAGTCAGTAACAACGTAGAACTTCGTACGTACGTACATCAGTTCGAGTTGCCACACCACATTAGCACAGAGATGCAGTGGTCGATTCAAATCCCGTAGTGGTACAGGTAGCTATCGATAACTCTACCACTCTAAGATCTCTGCAAACACTTTCATCTCGCTGTACTATGAAATACACCAACCTGAACTGATGTACACGTGTTACCTTTGAAATTGCTCGAATTGATGTACATACACGTACGAAGTTCTACGTTGTTGCCGACAATCCATAGTGGGATATAAACCCTTAATCCTGGAAGGTTATTAATCATTTTGTCACATATATCCTTTCACAGTACAATCAACATTATATCATAGAAATAATCCCATCATATCATAATATTGAAAAGAAGAGGAACAAAAAACAACCCGCAAAAAACATTAGCCTGAATTGCATCAAATTACAACAGAAAGGAAGAAAAAACTTTTGTATCTAACATGTATACATACAGATGTGAATGTGTAAAGGGAAAAAAACACCCTTTTTTTCGTTCTTTGTTTGCTTGAAACAAAAAAAAGAAAAGAAAAACAAACAGGTTACACACACAAACCTTCCTGTCAAACTTATCAGTAATCATTATTAATAAATTATTATTATGAATATAAGGGAATGACAATCAATTGAAAGGATATGAAAAATAATAATAAGCTTTTATGCAACAGAAAGAAACAAGCAGGTACAATAGCGTCATCACACACACACACACACACACAAATCATTCCATAATAAGCCTATGCTTTGAAGAATTTTACATATCATGTAATTACTATCATTTAAGTAGTATTATTAGTAGTAGTAGTAGAAGAAGTAGTAATATCAACAACATAGTTAGTTATACATTCAAATCAAAATTTAGCGTCATATGTTCATTTGTCAATCATATGAAAACATGTTATATCAAGTGTCAGAATAATGATTTGAAAAAGGAATACGAAATTATTGAAGAGAAAAAAAAAGGGAAGCAAAAATCGAATGAGTACAATCGGATAAATAAATATACATATGCATAAACACTTTGTACGACATATGGTCATCCATTCCCTCTAAAGGTGAGAATAATTTAAAAATATGAAGACAATGGAAGTTTAATTTATTGGAAGCGCTTGTTCACTACTACTACTAATACTAGTGTCATTCAAACTTTCACTTTATCATATGGTAGATATTCATGATCAAAATGATTTATCCTATACTTTCTCTTGTATTAGGAGATGAGTGACAACGCTTACCATTGATAATGTCGTTAGAAGAGGTATGTATGTGTGTGTGTGAGTGTGTGTTAAGATCAAGAACGGTTGATTGTTGTAAACAATGAGAATTATAGTAGACAAACCTTTGTGCACTTTTGAAGAAAACCAATATAAGAACAATCATTTTATTGTATTCGGTAAAAAGAAGCCAAGGAAAAGCACACACACACACACACAATAATACATAAATATAAATACAGATGAGCGCACTTAAGTTTATGTATTGGTTACAATACAAATCAAAATGACGGTAAACATTACGCTACACATATGCAGCGAAAAATTTTTTTAAAAAAGAAGCAGAACAGAACAAGGAGAAAAATTGAAGAAGAAGAAGAAGAAGAAGAAGAAGAAGAAGAAGAAGAAGAAGAAGAAAAACAACAAGATACAGCAAGACAAAATCATTCGAAAGTAATATGTATATATATTATGTAGCAGCTATAAGCGCAACTACAGATATACATAAAGGAGAAAGGATTCACCAATACAACCTAACTGTTGAACTATCATAAAATTGGAAGCGATTATTGAATAATAATAATAATAATAATAATAATAATAATAATAATAATAATAATAAAGAGATTTTATATTTTGTATGTCTATGAATGAGAAGTGAAAAATCCACTATCTAGCCATGTACAGAATTCAAACAATAAAACTATGTACAGGCACATGAATACACAAACAAGTACATATATATATATATTAACCAATATAATTATGGAATTACAATATTGGTCACAATTGGATCCTGGGATAAAGGAATAGATTGTATATGTATAGCAATATCAGCGCCGGCAATAACAGTAGTTCTTTTATCAATTCCTTTTTTCTTTCTTTCATAATGAGCCATAGAGATAATATTCATTCATGAAAGCGTAAAATGATTTAGAACAATAACAAAATAACAATGATATCTACTTGTGAGAGAGAGAGAGAGAGAGAGAAAGAAATGAAGGAAACAATAATAACATGACTGAATTCACTATCCTTAAAGAAAACCGTTAAACAGTATAGGGATGTATATTTTAAAAAAAGGCGTATTCTTGAGAGAATTGTCAATCGGTTAAAAGAAAAGAAAGAAAGAAAGAAAGAAAGAGAAAAAGAATACAAAAACAAAACAACATTCTCTTCTTAGACAAGAATGATTCCATAAAACAACAATTGATACGACTGAAAAATGAAATGTCGTCGTTTCTATGCTCAGAAAATATTGTGTAACCTATTACAAAAAGAAAACCACACAAAATAATACAAGTATAGAACAAAGACATAGGATTACACAATAATAATAAACAATGGTAGTCAAAATAATATTCAAGAATAATGTTTGTTTGTCTGTTAGTGTGTGTGCGTGTGTGTATGAGAGAGTGAGTAAGTGGGAACACACACACACACACCTTAAAAACCCCTAAACAGAAAAAAAAAGGAAAAGAACAGTTCTTTGTAATTACACACTTTTTTTTGTATGTTTACCTATATACTTAATTCTTCGGTATTGAACAATGAGACTTTACACATAGGACATATTAGATGTATGAATGTAGTTGGAATTATGACGTAACAAGAAAAACACATACAAGGAGAGGGAGAGAGAGAGGAAGAGAGAAAGAAAGAAAGAAAAGAAAAAACGGGAAAAATTGAAAGTGGAGAAATAGAAGGCGATCATTCTATCATATTATAAACTCTCTCATTTAATCTTCATCTATCCTTTAATATGTACATGTTGTATAGAATAATAATGAGAGAATAATGAAAAAGGCCACTTTGAAAGACACAACTCTAATAGGGGTAATGATGTATTTGTGTATAAATGATAAATGGGCACACAAAAAAATTATTTCAAAAAAAAACAAACACCAACACTATTTCACCGATCTCTATGAAAAGAAAGAAAGAAAGAAGGGAAAAACAACTCGATATCATTATTACATCATCCATACACGTAGATTATACAAAAATGAAAAGCTGTTTCGTAAGGAAAACAAAAAAAAAGAAAAAAAACAACACAAACGGATAAAGAAATAATGAATTATCAAAAAGACTTATTGCTGAGATAAAATAAAATCAAGAAAAAAGGGGGGAAGGGGGAGAGAGAAACACAATGAATAGATAAATCCTGAGATTTTTATTTTTAGCAAAAAAAGGTTTATGTATCCAATGAATTTTTATCCGGTCATTATTAACTGTCTTATCCAATATGTCGGTGGTTACTACATTGTTGTTATCAGTAGTAGTAATAGTAGTATTAGTAGTAGTATCCAGTAAATGCTAAAACGATAACATAAAGGTGAGGAGGCCAGAACAGGACATGAAATAATTCATTATACGACACGATTATGTCACAATTATAGGTATTGTAATGTGGAAAAAAAACAAAACACGAAAGGAACAAAACGAGAGAAAGGCGAAGCAAATATCATGTGTACAAACACATATACATTATTATAATACAATAGTAGCTATAGCAACAATAATAATCATAATAATACACCGTTCAAATTATTCAACGGAAAATATCAAAATGTATCAAAGCAATAATAACACATTGGAATTACAAACACGTATAAACACACATACAAACATGAGCATCATCGTCGTTACCATAACTCTTTTCTGGATGAGACAGACACGGATACCAGACGATAGTAGAAATACTAGATAAACTGAGATCGAAGACGTCGATTTTTAGACCGTTGACCAAAGCAGCCACAACAACTACGTACATTAAAAAAAGAAAATATAATGCTTCCATTGAAAGTAATATCACGTACACAGACAATGAATAGAATAATAATAATTGATAAATAAATAACAATAGTGATGTTAATAATGATAATAATAACAATTATTATGTCCTCAATAATGACTAATTTCAACAGGCAACTTCTGCAGTTCTAGTGAGAAATCATGACTACTGCAGCTTAACCATATTGAGTGTACGACAGTCATCCTCCACAGTCAATAGATCAAGGTTAAGCAACGTTGGGAATTAATTGAAGTTGCACAACAACACTTTTGGATGCCGGCCCAGTAATATAAAGGTTGCGAGTTCACTCATAAGATCGAGCGTTGTAGCTTCAATTCTCATATGTGTGGTCGTAGTTAGGAGTCCCATACTTGGACGGTATGGTCATCTTGTGCTCCCACATTTCCGAAAGATGACTAGCTAAAATCAGTTGGTGACCTACCTCTAAATGCACTGGAACGACAGATGAGGAAAGTCCGCACTCCTCCAAATGCTCTCACATGGTCACACATATATAGCCACTGCCAAGCTAGTCCTAATCACTGCCTTCTCGAGAAGGGGCTGCTGTTCACGAAATTGAGAGGATGAAAAAGCGAATTTTCGGCGCCTTAAAGCGGATGTTAGACATGGAGGATCCATCTAGAGAGGTTGGAAAACCCTAATTCCAAACCAATGGTGAGCATTGACTGCCAGAATCCTGAGGGAACAAATGGAGTACGAACCCCCCCCCATGTAATCGCATCTCACAATGTTGCTACACTGTATTGTGGATAAGACCTCTAAGTTAAAGCCTGAGGGAGTTAGCTCCTGAGAAAACCACCTGCATAGATTTTGGCATTTTAGTAGTATCCCACACCTCACATAAATTTAGTGATTTGTATGACGTATACATATTTTGGTGCCCACTTGCCTTTCTCATAGGGGGAGGGGTTCTGTCATATCAAAATAAATAAATAAACTGAGAGATGAAGACAAGGATACGCATCTGTTGCTGAATGAGCCAGCAATCCCGTTGCCTATTGAATAAAATATAAATTCCAACTTACTCTATGTAATTTTAAAGTTTACCATGATATTAGCATTTATTCAGCCCTAAAATGCACAATGGTATGTAGACGTGTATGATGAATATTTCAAAAGATTATACGAACACATCATACATATACACATACATACAGTGCTGAGGAGTTCCATAATAGGATGGAACGGCCGTCCAGTGCTTCCAGGTTTTTCATGGTGATCTAGCTTCAATTGACTCATGATCTCAACCATTGAAATAAAAGGATAAGTTTAACAGTAACTAATTTTATTTCGGATAAGTAGAAGAGATGAGATTTTCAGTTGATTAAATAAACTTTCTGTAATAATATTGATGTTAAACGTGAAATATTAACTAAGAAGAGGAATGTAGATGAACTAACACAAAAAAGACTACAAATTGGTGAACAAAACAAATAGGAAAATTATCTCAAGCCCATACACACAAAGTGTTTAAATCATCAGTATAAAGATTAAGTGTTTTCGAACTAAAGATTATTCTAAATTATGAGATCGTCCTTTCAACTCTCTTCTCAAGAAAGAAAACATTGCAAACTTACCCTGATTGACTTTGTATATCATCTTGTTCAGCGCCAGCTACATTTTCAGGTGATGATTCTGTTGTTGTCATGCCAACTCCCATGCCTAAATTGTCATCAATATCTCGAGCCATAGTTTCTTCTGGACCACCGCCACTGTATAAACCGGTTATATTCCGAATATGTGTACCACCGGCATTTGTACCGGATACAGCACCACCGCCACCATATGGCAAACCACTAGAGTTTGAAGTGGGCATAGCACCACCGCCGCCAACACCAGTAGGTCCAACATCATCTACAATACCGTCATTAGGTGAACCAATTTTATTAGCACCAAGAAGACCGGTATGCATAATAGTTTGATTTGTTGTTTGCTAATAAAAAATTAGATGAATGCATACAATGACGAAAATTTTAATGGATGTACACTTTGGAAGTAAACAAAATTAAAAACATTTTAATGTAAATCTTAATATATATGTATAAACTAACCTGACCAAAATAGGAAGGTAAATATTCATCAACTTTATATCTTAATTCATTTGGTGATGTACCGCCATCTTCATTGATATAACTAGGTACATTATTTGATTGTCCAGTAGGTGGCCAATGAGATGTACCAGGATCTAATAAAGGTGTTCCAGTTAATCCCATTGCATGATGACCACCATTAACACCAGGACTTTGTTGATTACCATTCACTGGATGATGAGTAGGAGAAGTAAGTCCAGATGTGTTTTGTACACCATTATTCATACAACTAGCATTCCCAGCAGGAACGTTAGTTAATGGTGGATTTACTGCCTGTCCGCCAGATGTATGTGTAGATCCTGGAGGCTAAAACCCATAAAGAAGATGAATAACAACAATGGTAAATGATACATTATTAAATATTGAATAGTAAGAAAACTTCAAAATATGTTGAAGACCGTCCGATAAATGACTCGCATTATTACATTCACAAGTGAATTTCGATGCAGATAGAAACTCGTCAGACAAATTAATGATACAAACCAAAGTCTTTGGGTTATAACGCTCGATTATCCATGTCCATACGAATAGGATGTTAATTTGCCTTAGACGAATATCTACACTAGATCCCGTTCCAGTGTCTATACCGCAGGACTTCAACACAACTCAGATCAAGAACATGTGATTAGCCTGGCTAGAACGTAAATATATTTCTACACCAAAAACCGACACAATCCAACAACAATCACAGTGATAATAAGGGTAAAGTAATGTATAACTCATCTAGTACCTGTCAGACTGTCTATAAGTTTAACTAAGCAAACAACCAATCATTATCATTCTCATCCACATATCAATCGGTGAAATAAGAATGTTTTTTTATCAGTGTTTATCAAGTTAGATGATTGTAGTTAAAAATGTATATAGCGAGTGCACACACGAACCGTAACACGACAAGTTGTATTTAAGATGATTTAAAGGGAGAATAATATTATCAATATATGGGGACTTGTGGAGATTGTAAAATCGTACCGATTTAAATCACGAATCGATCTTAGATAGATCTCTTTCGAAAATGTGGGAGCACTGGATAACCGTTCCTTCCAAGTATGGGACTCCCAAGTAATGCCTAACTACGACCACACATCTGAAAATTGAACCTACAACCGTCGATCTTATGAGTGAACTCGCAACCTTAATACCACTGAGTCGGCATCCAAAAGTGTTGTTGAGCAACTTCAATTAATTCCCATCGTTGCTTAACCTTGATCTATTGACTGTGGAGGATGACTGTCGTACACTCAATATGGTTGAGCTGCAGTAGTCATGATTTCTCACTAGAACTGCAGAAGTTGCCTATTGAAGTTAGTCAGCTGTCGTTTAATGTTTAAGTGTTTATGCACAGGACTGAAGGTCGTGGGTGGGCGCGGCTAAGACGTCCCATTTGTAATGAACGCTCTTCCAATACTTCCAGGTTTTTAATGGTAGTCTAACTAGAACTAGTTCATGATTTCAATTATGAAATTTATTTGTTATATATTCCTGAAAACCAGTAGAAAAGTATAGTCCTCTAATTGTAAACATGAGGTAAGAGGTAAGAAAACCTGTAGCCTGTTAGTCTCAATTAAGTAGTGTGGACATCCTCATACATTCACGTTCAATAGTTAGTGATTCTATGAACTAAATATATATCTCAATGTGATGTGACCTCAACCTTCTTCCAACCTACTTCTCCTATGATGGACAACTTCTCCAGTTTGAGGAGATATGAGCAATAATATCCCAATGAATTCAATTGATGAAAATTGTCCTGCCTAATAAATCGACTAACCAATTTATACCTAGAATTGAGCGTTACTTTTCTGATTGTTTGGTCAAGCATGATGAATGCTTTAAAGATATCTATGATACAAATAATGGCAACTTGCATATACTTCCGAAGATCTAAGATCAATTTTCACATTCACTAAGTCATACAAAACGAATTGATATGTGACAATATTTGTGCTATGGTAGGTACACGGGTGTCTCGAACTTGTGACAGATGGCACCCAATGTATGTCGTCAGTCAATGACCCAAACTCTCATCGGTTAAACCGGAAAACTAGACAGCCAAACTAATTTTAAAGAATTTCAATGAGCTAGTAATGTTACCAATAATGAGTTTAGGTCTTAACCTTATCTCTATTTTTAATTCAAGTATTTTGATGGTATGAACAATCTATACACAAAATAATTTAATTATGACATCTACAGGATAGAATTCTGACTTATTATCAGCAATTTTAGTAAATATAATAATCCTATTCAATTAAAATTGATACATACGTATGAACATTTACTAATCCCTATTAAAGATGATGACATTCACTGGATGACATGAACTATGCGTTAACCGGTTTAGTGCAAGTCATCCATCCGAAACGAAATAGTCATTTATAGATACTTTCTAAAAGTAAGGATAGATACTCTAACATTTATTGCTAGATGTTTGGTGGTAGTTGAGTTGTAAACAGAATAGCTTAGTGGTAACGTCTCAATATGTGAAGCTGGGAGACAAGATTTCGAATCTCACAAGGAACATCAGCTCCCTCAAGATTCTAGGTACATCATGCTAATGGGCACCAAATCTACATCCAGAGTCTCCTGTCGAGTACTTTTAATCGAGCCACTCAGGTTTTTGACTACATTACAACTAGCTTGATCGAATTCGATCAGCACTCAAAGACCAGACAAACTTAACATTGGTCATAACTTAGTAACTAATCAATTCTAACATTCAATATATACATATATAGTTTACTTTAGATCCAGGTAACGGTCGACTGCACCAATCGAATTCCCAATCACATTCCCAACCTTTTCTTTGCATTAAATCAGTAAATCCCCAACGTAAATACTCATAGTTAGGTTCTTCAAAAAAATCTAAACTTCGAACATATCGTAAATAGGTAGCCATTTCTAAAAGAAAACATGAAAAAAAAAATTGGCATAACATAAACAAACAAACTATTGACCTGGTAGATAATTGAATTGAATTTGAGTTTTCAAGTATGTTACAACAACTTTCACACATATATATAATGAGCAATTACTGAGTTATTATTTAAGTAAATATGAATCAATTCATGTGCTTTAAAACGTTGAGTTACACTTTTGATGTGAAAAAAAAGAGATGAAAGCACAGGAATTTCAATTGTCGGATTGTCACTTTCAACCTGGTCTCAACTACATCCTCATTAATTGGTTAGCACAATGAATGATTTTCATTTATTTAAAAACTATAAGAGTTTATGCATTCTGATTTGAGTCAAACTTTAATTGTATGAGGCCTAGTGAAACTACCTGGATGCTTAAATCAATGTATGTCGAGTGGGGTTCGAACTAGTAACCTATAAGTCACTAACAGACAAGTCCTCTAACTGATAAGCCAATTTTCAACAAGATAATACTACAATTAATCTTCACATAAAAATTTTGGTTTACAACCCCCAAATTTCCTGATACAACTGAGGTGAAGATTTTTTATTCAGAAAGATGTTTTATGCACAGAAATGAACGATTTGATTGTTTTCTAGACAATGGCATAAGTGAATCAACAATAGACTTAGATAAAGCAGCATTACATAAAATGAAATTATATAAGCGGATAGGTAGTCATTAAAACCATGCTTCTTCTTTAACAAAGCTTATTACTGTCGGCACCATCACCACATTATACATCAAAAAACGAGTCTTCATGGGTTGATGTAGTTAAGACATGCATTATGTATGCAAAACAATCGCCAACCTCCATGCGAGAGTCGAGCTGGTGTGAAAGTAGACAGGAATTAGGCTGAAGGTGATTAAACCAAGAGGCGGTGTCCGTCCATGAAGGTGGTTTTCTTAGGGGATATAGTCCCCGGGCCTCTGATTTAGATGTTTCATTCACAAGGCAGTAGAGCAACGTCAGGAGATGCAGTCACATGGTGAACGGTGACCCAAAATTGGTTCATACTCAATCTACTCCCTCAGGATCCTGAAGCTCATGTGTATCACTGGTTTCGAATAAGGGTTTTTCAACTTCCTCTATATTTACCATTCCGTTTAAGGTGATGAAAATTTGCGTTTCGTCCTCTCAATTTCGTGAACAGCAGCCCCTTCTCGAGAAGGTAGTGAGCAAGACTAGCTTGGCAGTGGCTATTTATGTGTGACCATTTGAGAGCATTTTGAGAGGGCGAGCGAAATCTCCTAACCCTCAGACGTACCGAAGATAATGGGGGCTGTAACCAATGGTTGGAGACTTTGAGTGACATGGCTTAGAATCGATTATAACAGCGCAGATTTATTCACTCTTTATCTTCTCTGAAATCACAAATTTGAGAACTTATTTACATTTTCTATTCATTAAATTTACTCCTTTTCAAATCATATTGTCTATGGTTATTCTTTTTTACTTTAGTTAGTACTGTTACTACTCCTAATACTCTGTGATTGATCTAGATGATTTTATCGCATAAAGTGAGAAATTGAACTGATACACATATATCCCGGCTCTAAATTCCTTATAAATGACTAACTGACTGACCGACTGACTAACTTTTATAACATGCTATCATTCGTATCGTAAGTTTAAACCTAGAAGTAAATCAATACTTGAAAACAAATATAAGCTAAGAATAAAAATCATCAAACAATACTATTAAGAAAACATCTTTGATAAACGTATATTGACGTTTCACCATTATTATTATTATGATTATTATATTCAAGAAAAGAATAATAGTTGACAAGAAAAACCCAAGGAAAGCAACACACTTAGTTGGAATGTCATAAAAAGATCATAGAACACCATGACACATAGGCATAACCTAAATAATTTGATTAGAATGAGGAAAGTTTACAACATTCAGTATAGATTTGTACTAGTTCACATCTATCATAGAAATGAATCATGAAAAAAAAATTATAGAGAGAGAAAAATATATATTTGAAGACAAGATGATATACGCTTGAATGAATCGTTTGAACAAATAGCGAAGAATAACTATCAGAAAATAAACGATTCTTTGACTAATAAAAATATTCATACATAGATTAGTGTTACCACTTCCATGCGAATTTCCTACTCACTACGTTCTCACAGCGGGGGGTGTTGCTTACGAAATTGAGAGGATGAAAAGCAAATGTCCGACGCTTCAACTGGGTTGGTGGATACGGAGAGTCAACCTTAACGAGTTGGAAAACCTTCATTCCAAACCAATGGTGTACATAGGCTGGCTCTAGTATCCTGAGAGAACAAATGGCGTATGAACCAGTCGCTGGTCATCGACTATCATATGACTGCATCTTCTCATGTTGCTTCACTGCCTTTTGGGTCAGACCTTTAGGTTGAAAGCTCAGGATGTGGCCTCCTCAGAAAACCACCTGCTTCGATTTGGACACCTGGACAGCATCCCAGCTCTCACACAAATCGAATGATTTATGTAGCGCATATATATTTTGTGTCTCTTTGTACCAATGTTCATGTGTGTAAATAAGATAAAAATAAATAACTTTCATATGAACTCCATGTTAGACAGAAAGATATCATGATGAAGAAATTTCATTGTAGATTAACATAACATATCAGAAAGAACTCTGCTGAAAGTCATATCAGAGCCAACTATTCGGTTATAATATGAACTGGGTTAGATAACGGTCGAACGAAGATATGACAATAAATCATGAAGTCACTGACTGTTGCTCACAACTATGTTGATGAATCCAAATTATCCAGTCAGAGACCACAATATAAACTACGATCAATGATTAAAGACGTTGGATGACATATAATTCAGAAAGATTCACAATGGTACAAATCCATTGACTCCTTATCATCTCAATCTGGTGGTCGATTCAAATCCCGTAGTGGTAGAGGTAATAAGAGTATAAGCAGTAATCGGGAAGATTAGTGTTACCCATGAAAAGAAATTATACTATAGCAATAAAACTATATTATATGATATAACATGTCCTATTAATTACATCATTCCAACATGGAAAGACCGTAAACACACACACACACAAAAAACATTATCTTAGTATATATTTTACCGGGGTAACCATGACATAAAACATCAATAGGAGTTGCACGTTTTGTATCACCAATTTTCTGATAACGTTCACGTAGATTTTCAGCTTTTAAACCTTGCCAAGGTAGACTACCACGTAGAAAATATAAAAACATATGACCTAAGGCCTCTAAATCATCACGTCGAGATTGTTCTGAAAAAAAAAACAACGAAAAAGGAAACACTAAAATCAAATAAGGTTACAATTAGGCAATGATGATTCGCAGTAATGCTTGATCGTTCATGAAATATCGATGATGATAATAATAAAAATAGTAATAATAATGATAATATCAACTGACAAATATTGTGCCAGGTTAGTGTAAGCAAATTGGATCGGATTCTATGAATCTAAGGTGACCCATACTGACTTTGACTACCAAATTAAATTAACAAGTATGTAATACTAGTCAGTCAGTTATGCACAACGTGAAACTTGGCACATATATGTATTGGTTCAGGTCATCATACCAGATTAAAACAGTAAGATGAAATTATTAAAACAAATACCAGAGTGTTAGAAGTAGTAACAGTATCAGTGATAGAAGAAAACATGGAGTCACTTAAGAAGCAACTTCCTCTTAATGGGTTGACAAAAAAACTCATCCAAAATAAAACTCAATACATATGATAAATGGGAACTGAAGATAATTGGAGAAGGAGACCAAATATACAAATTCATGAACGAAAGCTGTAACGGAATATTTGGAACCACAAAGAAAATGGACAGTTATTAGGAAAAATGATCACACTTCAAGCAAAACCAAAAAACAAACGTGATCGGACTCAAAATTGCGCTCATCGCGTTGAAAACCTATGGGACAAAAGGGTGGCTATGAAGATACATTCAAACGACCCATAACTCAAATGGAAGATGCAACCCAAAAGACTAAAACAAGTATATAGTCAAGCGAATCAAATCATAACAATGAACATCAATGCCCATCCGAGGTCTTTAAAAAACATTGTTCCAACACAGAAAGGCATTGTCAATTAGTGTACAAATAGTCGGCAATTATCTGGCATGAAATAAAGCCAAGAAAGTGTAAAATAGAAACAACTATAACACCCCGGTAGTTGTCCCGTGCTATAACCCATTGATGTTTCCAGAAAAATCAACCGGTTTTACCAAACCAGGAGGACTGGAAGGGACACCACAGGAAACAGTATCAGTAGTGTTAGTAAAAATGATTAAGTACATACGATATTCTTCAAAAAGATTTTAGTTAATAAATTTATAGTTTACTGAAGACTTAGAAGGAACATAATTTCATATGAAATTATCACCAAAGAGCAACTAAACAATAATAATTCAGTCAAATTACGTTTTTATCCAAAGTTTAATTTCAAACTTTGATGCAACCAAACATATTTTAAGTACACAGACACAAGATTAATTTTGTAGATTCCAAGCAAGACACGTAACGGGGGTTTCCCCGCGTGGGTCCGAATCCCATCCCCATCGCTAATTGTTATAACTTGTGACCGCCGATTAGAGGGCAGTAACTTATCGATCGGACCAAGGATGCGTAAACACATGCGAGCAGCCTAGAGTTCTGATTGGTCCTGCTTTCCACGTAGCCTGCTTCGGTTTGGGCACCCGGGCAGTATCACAGCCCTCACACATGTCGAATGAGATTTGTGTGGCGCATATGTATTAGATGCCTCCTTGTACAAATTAAAATAATTCCACCTAGCCCAGCCAGTTAAGTCCAGAACACCAAACCGAGCCTCTGCGATATGAATCATTATATTTCAAACATACTGAGTTTATATATCAATCAAACAGACTACAACGTACCAATAAAATATGAAACAATCTTTGTACAAGATTTAGCCAGATGTGGCTGTGAATGAGAGAGGTAGTAATTAATATACTGGGTATAACTCAAGAATGGTAAAACGTATAATAATAGTTTATGGGTGAAAATAAAGCTTATAATAAGGGGGAATATGAATATGCATAGTTTAGTTACTTGATAATTATACAATAGAAATATACGTTTAGTATTGGTCCATAAATGGATCCCAAAAGTTACAGTTCATTATTGTTGTCGGGACATAACACAGAACAATTTAAAAAGAAGCTTGATATGAAATAGCTAAAATTTGTAAATTAAGCACCAAACTGAATGCTTGAACACCGATTACCATGACGTTCAATGCTGACTAGTGTTGGAGACGGTTGGAAGAATGTTAAGGTCGGTCAAACCAAAATGGGGGATCAGTCCTTGAAGTCACTAACTACTATTCTAAGCCATGTCAATAGATACAAACTACTTGGTTGGAGTCCGCACGACTATTGTAGCTAATGATTAGACTCCGGGTGATATGGCTCAGAATCGATCACAATGGTGTAGGCGTATACACTCTCTGTCTTCCCTTATACTATGATACTATGAGATTAAAATCGCTTCATGTCTTTCTTTCTATGAACTAATTCTCTCTCCCTGTACTATATCCTTATATGCAATCTTTCTTTTATACATTACCACCATTGAATTAACTACTTTAATGAATTTGGTGTTCATCTTGTAGTGCTAATGAGGTATAGTAAATTGGATCGACTTATATATGTGTCTGATTTCACGTTATTGCTGACTGACTGATTATTTTTTAACCACGATAAACCTTTATCATAAATAGTAAATATACATTTTTTGAAAATCAGTTAATCAACTAAACATCACCAAATGATTTAATAAATAATATTAAACTCTTAAAGTAATTAAGCATTACAAAAAACTAATTAATTAATTTCAAAAGGGGTTTTTATGAATATTATAATAATTCCAATCGTTGAATTCATGAGTCAGTTGAAGCTAGATCACTATGAAAAACCTGAAAGCACTAGAGGGCAGTTTCGTCCTATTGTGGGACTACTCAACCATGCGCATCCATGACCCCACCTCGCGAGATTCAAACCCAGGTTTAGTGGTTAAGCGCTCACGCACAAGACGGATAGGTCCTGGATTCGAATCTCGCGAAGAGGGATTGTAGATGCACACTACTGAGTCCCACAATGGGACGAAATGGCCATCCAGTGCTTCCAGATTTTCCGTAGTTGTTTAGCTTTAATTGACTTATGAGCTCAAATATTAAAATTAATTATATATATATATAATATTTACCTTTGCCTAAATGTGTATTAATACTCATATAACGTGCAGTACCAGTAAGACTTTTATGTTCACGATAAGGAATGTGTTTTTGAGTTTCTGGATCAATATATTCTTTAGCTAAACCAAAATCAATGATATATATAGTACGATGTCTATTATAATATTGACGTCCAATAAGAAAATTCTCTGGTTTAACATCACGATATATTAAATGCTTTGAATGTACATATTCAATACGTCGAAGCTAAATGAGTTTTAAGAAAAAAGAAAGAGAAAAACAACAATAATAATAATAATAATAATGACCGTAAAGAGAAAGAAAAGTTTTAAAAAAAAAGTAGGAAGTAGGACCAATTGAGCAATAAATAAAACTGAAGTTCATTCACTAGATTCTTTCCATATATAAATACATAAATTATTAGTTAGTTAGTATAATTATAGAACAACTTAAATGCCAAAAAATAAGACGGATACAAGAAATGTTTGATTTTTTGGAAATAGAAACTATGTACGGGTAAATCATATAAGTATTTTTTTTATACTAAACATTGTGTATAGCATTTTACAAACTGTACAGTATTTCAGATATATTCTCTCAATGAAACCTAAAGACTCTCAGTAAATTGGTCAGTTTAGTTCATGTAAAGTCTGGCACAAGCATCAGTTAGCAACAACCTAGAACTTCGTACGTACGTACATCAGTTCGAGTTGCCATACCATAAAACCACAGAGATACAATTATCCATTCATATCCCACAGTGGTAGAGGTAATTAAAAGTACAAACAGTAATCGCGAAGATTAGATTTCGAAGATGTTAGTCAAGGAGTATAATCCAGTGAAGTAAATTTGGAAAGAAAACAAATAAAGGGACATGAAGAATCCAGAAAATTAGAATTTGGGAGAACGCAAAGAGTGGATGCACCTGCGCCATCCGGAGCCATGTCATTCAAGGTCTCTAACCATCGGTTGCATCGTCTCGCCGATTCAAACCAGGTACTCTACACCTATCAACATGGCTCAGTTCATTTGTCAGTGACATCATGGGTTTGTGCCATGTTTTGATCTGGCCGCCCCTAGCATTCTTCCAACCTACTCCTACAACATAAAAACATCGCATGTTGGGGCAGTCGGTGGTTGGGCATACGTAACACATGTCACGGCCATCTCAACTGAAGTTTCACTACTTCATCAATTGATTTGTCATCCTTACCTAGTATCCGTTTCCTAACAACTGCATTACTTACTCGGCGGTACCAGGATATACGAGCAATATTTCGAAGACACCTATGATCGAATACTAGTAACCTACGAATATCCTCCACTCTTACCGGCCATGTTTCACTGTCATAAAGTAGGACGGAACGAACTGCTGCACAGTAAACACGTCCTTTGGTTGATAGACGGATATATCTCGCCTACGCCATAAATGACGCAAGTTGGTAAAAGCTAGTCGAGCCTTCTGCATCCGTGCTGAGATTTCGTCACACACCAGACCACAAGGGCAGGTGAGACTCCCAAGATAATTGAAGCGGTTGACACGCTCAACTACTTCACTCCCTATCATTAGTTCGGGTGTCGATGCAACCCAATCCTGAAGTAACATTTTGTATCTCGAATGGGAGAGTCGCATCCCGAACATGTTTGCATTGTTGCTTAGAGTGGTCAAAAGACTCTGCATTTTGTCAGCGTCTTCACCAAATAGGACACAAGTGTAAATTGATCCTAGCTGTCATATCAGATTAACATGACGAGATGAAGATAATAAAATGAATGGTAAAAATATATAGTAGGAATAATATTAATGAAATACTAAACATTGCGAATATAGTTCTAGAAAAAAAGACAGAGTGGAAAAGTATGTAAGAAGGAACATTGTGATTTCAGATCGAGAGAATGATAATGAGTGAGTGGATTTGTACCATTGTGAATCTTTCTGAATTATACATCATCCAAAGTCTTCAATCACTGATCGTGGTTTGTAGTGTAAACTCTGACCGGATAATCTGAATTTATCGACATGGTCGTGAGCAACAGTTAACGACTTCATGGTTTAGTGCCATATACTGGCTTGGTGACACTTAACACAATGAATGATTATGTTAACTTCATGATTTCAGGAAACTGATGAGTTACAGATAGGAAGAAATGCGCGTCCTAGACTTCACTATTAGCCCATTCCATCTATTCTGTTGACTTTCCTAGTTGTGGAATACTTTCATTTTATGTAGTGATTATTTGTGGTTGGAAGTGAAAACAACTTACATGGTTGATCCTTTTAATCATCTCTTTTCATATAATAGACTTATTGAGTCCAAAAATAAACTTTCAACAAAAAATGAATTCATGATAATTAAATAGTTCAGTTTGTTATACTTCTTAGCAGCATATGAAAATGAGTATTTGGAACACATGTTAAGATGAAAAGAACGATTAGGATAATTAAAAAATATAACCATATTCGTTAGGAATGTTAAACACTTTCTCCAACCATTTAATTTTCCCCAGTTGGTCGGAAGACAAGTCATTATTAACCGAGTTGTATGGGACACATGTTATATATGTGAATAGCCGCCACAAATCCTCATGAGCCAATATGACTAGTAAATAAGTAAGCTAGAAAACCGAAGGTGCTAAAACTAGGAAGTGAAAACAGTTCATGAAGTCAGTAATTACTGACTTACAATTGTGTGATGGCTAATGACACTATTCTGTTTGCAAAGAAAAGTATGCGGATAAGGATTCGTACACGAGATCGAAAGGCTGAAGGTTGTGTTTTAATTACTAAACCATATATCTAATAGTCACAGAAAGGTTGGAACTAGTGACTTGATGACAAAAACCTGAATACCTAAGTAGCCGAACCACTATATGTTGACCAAGAAGTGGAGTAAGCTTATGGAGTTATTGACTGTTGGATCAAGTCCTTCTGACAAATCCGAAATAAGAGCTTGAAAATAACCAATGACATGGTGCCCCCAAATGCCCTGGTATGACCGAGAGTGAGGAGAGTTCGCTCTCCCTCTCAAAATGCTCTCACATGGCCATGCGTATATAGCCTCTGCCAGGGAAGTCCTACTCACTGCCTTCTCGCACCATGGTGTTGTTTACGAAATTGAGAGGACGAAAAGCGAATGTTCGGCGCTCTAACCGGATTCCAAACCAATGGGGCACATGGACCCCAGTATCCTAAAGGAACAAATGGCGTATGAACCAATCGTTGGTCACCGGCTACCATGGGACTGCATCTCCTTACGATGCTCCACTGCCTTGTGGATCAAACCTCCAGGTCGAAGGCTCGGGGGTGGTCCCCTAAGAAAACCACCTGTTTCGGTTTGGGCACCCGGGCAGTATTACAGCCCTCACACATATCGAATGAGATTTGTGTGGCGCATATGTATTTGGTGCCTTCTTGTACCAATATCTATGTGTTAAAATAAATAATAAATAATAATAATGACATGGCTTAGATTTTTCCATTAGAGCAGATACACTACTCTTTGTATTCTTCCAACTCTTGAGCCCCAATTTTATTTCGTACTTTTTATAAATGACAACACAATCTAGGTATAAATAAATTCTAAAATAATCAAATGGAAAACATACCAGCTGGATTGCTATCATCAGTACAGTTTTCAAAGAGAACTGACGTTTACATGATTCAAATAGATCTTCTAAAGATGGACCAAGCAATTCCATTACAAGCGCATTATGTCGGCCTACTGGTCCAAAATAATAAACCATTGGAAATCCAACAACACCACCACTTAGAAGTATACGATAGAATCGATACTCTAAATGCAATTGGGGAGCACGAGTTTTCATCGGTTCAAGTTTAATGGCAACATATTCATTGGTATACAAATTACGACCTAAACAAAAGTTTCGAACAAAAACGTCAAAAATGAAAATAACAATTACTTTGATGATCTTACAGAATAATAATTTACAACAAACTTTAAACAAACATCGTTAAAAATCTTTTTTTCTCCAAAGAATGCTACTGCAATATTTTCCATTAATTAAGATCACTTGTAGTTCTGTGATGTGTGCTACTGATGTCGACAAATATAAGTAGTATGCACCACCATTAGAAAGTGGAATGCTTGGTGGCAAAAGGTTGAGAAAACCGAAGAGGAAAGACCAATAACAGAGAGTGATTGAGATGGAAATGAAGAAACAACAAAGTTGGAGACAATTGATGGATACTTTGCAAATGACGTATTTACTGTATGGTTCTCAGATTTTACTAAGATATTCTGTAATCTTATATTAACATACATTTGGTTATCCCCACTAGTGTTCTTATTCACTACAGTTACACTTCATAAACAGAATTACATTCAATCCTTTTGTAGAATTAATTCCCTAATTGTATTAAAAGCTTGGGGGGAAATGTAGACGAAGTTAAATCGTACTTTACAATCGCTAAAACTAATAAGGTTACATCATCAAATATGGCATGACTTACTAAAGTAAATTCTTCCACATCTCTTTCTTCTCTTAAACAGTGTCATTTGTAATATTGTCTAATAAAGGTTCATCATAACAACAATGTATTGGTATGAAACTTGGAAAGATATTATCAAATTTATTTACTTAAACGGCAATCCTTAATTCGTCAGCAATTAGTATATGATAACGCCTCCTGGAGCCACTTTGGGGCTACTGTCGGTCCCAAGCCCGGATAAAGGAGGAGGGTTTGGCATGGGGCTAGCGACCCCATCCCGTAGAAAACTAACTCACTAAAAAAACGCTAACCAGAGAAACTATAGTATATGATAATAGAGCTATAGAAGTATTACAAATAAACAATGCAAACAAATATCAGATTTTATATGAAATAGATAAAATGAATAAAGATCTACACATATTATAGTCAATTTTTAATTGATTATTTTCACAAAACTATGTGTGGTGCATGCTACTTATATTAACAGGTACAAGTAGTATGTAACCGCAATCGGATGTAGTGCCTGGCAAAAGAAGATTGAATTGAAGAGAAAAGAAAGGAAGTTGAAAAGTAATCAAAATAACGACAGAATTAGAGGAATAATAGAATATGTAAAGGTCAAATGATGGAAGATGTGCAAATGATGTACTTAATATATGATTCTCATATCTTACTAAGCCATTGTGTAATTCTTGCACTCAACAACATATTGGTTTTCCCCACCCGAATTTTAGTTGACTACATATGGATAAGAATAATTTTTGCTTGTCGCATCTACAACGCAAAAAAAACCTGTTCATTTCTGCAGTATATTCAGTAAATAACTGCACTACAGGGCAAGAATATGCATAACAGTCCAGAAACTAAACTAAAACAAATCCTGGGTTTTGCCATGACATGAACCTTTCGGCTAAAATGCCTACTCAAAATACGTTTATTAGAATTGATACTTCCTTTTTGTCAAATACAAATATACAAATTATGTACAGAAAGGATTAATATCTTAGATAAATGTGAAGAATAAGGTACTGACCAAGACGAAGTTCCCCAAAGTTCCCACAACCAATCTTCTTTCCAACACGGAAATTTGGACCGACCAGCAGCGTATTTCCTTCCCGTGAAGAACGTGGTGCATCTTGTTGCATATTATTCTGCTTTCCTGAATGTTGACGTTCTTCTTTTTTCTGAGAAGTTGTACCAGACCCTCGATGACCTCGGTTACTAGTAGAGGTCTGGTTGGTTTGCTGTGTTAACATTCCACTCTCAGAATCAAAATGCAGATCCCGTGCATTTGAGTAACAACTGGTTGGTCATATTTTTAACATACACCAATAGAAAACTAAAATGGTAAGAAAATGAATTTCGAATTGTTCAAATGATCATAAAGTTATAGACAGTTGGTTAACTTGGGGAAACGATGAATTGACCCACAAAAATACTTGAAAAAAGGCATTAAAAAAGCTGGTAACGAGGATTCAAACATGACTAGTAAACAACCAGTCCTCCAGCAAAAAGTAAATCCAGATAGTTCTACGACCCACTAAGTTATGTAACTCCCGGATTATTTTTGGTGTCATGTCTTAATAGAATTACTCCTTATTTCTATCGTTACTTTTTGCAAATCAACGGTGTTTTACCCTGCCATAATAGTAAAAACTAAGACAAAATATCTTATTTGAAGCAAGTCTAGTCGTCTTTGATAATTCTCTCCATTAGATTAGGTAAGCTACAGTCAGTATATTCATATGACTGATCTGAAAACAAATACAATATAGCTTATGGGGGGATATTTCCCCGTTGTTGATAATTTGGAATTACAATTAATCAGCCTCTATTAGCAAACGTCCATCCTAAGCGGATGCCATGATATTGACTTTTCATTACAAACTTCTAGATCTGAATAATAGCTAGGAGTGGAACCCAGGACGATCATATCATCTCACCTGGGACTCGTCACCCGAACCAACCTGTATCTCAGCAAATGTTGGGAAACCTAGGTAGTATGGCTCAGATTTTACCATTGTTATTATTCAAACACATAAACACTGGTACAAAAGAACACCAAAAATCCTCATACAATAAAAATAAGATTGTGAGGAGATAAAGGAAGGTGAGTATAATGACAAAAAAAGGACAAAAATGAATAATAATAGTAATAATAATAATAATGACAATAGTAATGGGAGAAGCAGTTCAGCTAAGAAAACTACGAACAGAAAGAATTCCTTCAGCTAAAGAATATGCTCTCACTTTTATGAAGAAAGCAAAATAAATTTGCAGTAGGGTCGCCACTGGCTTATCTTCTGAGTCATGTCTGATGTCTAGAGCCACTGTGTTGCACTATCAGACCCCAACCAAGTAGTTGTGAAGGTCCAGTGGAAGCCAGTCCCGTACAGCTTGCTTTCATACCGCGACACTATACTAAAAGCTGACCGTTCCCCCGCTTTTTTCAACCAGTTTGAGTCGGCAAGTAATTCAAAATGTGGAATTTGCAGGGACGATATCGTAGCACGTGTCCAAGCCATAGAAGAAGGTGTATCAAGATGGTAATGCCAAACGAACTATCGTCACTGTATCCGAATGTACGTTGTCGAACCCCCTCATTGCTAACATGGTGTTGCCACTGGATGTCAGCAAGCCTTCGAAGACAATGATGATTAAACACAAAGAGTCACTTAACATGTCTGACTCGGCTACGTTTCACAAGCATACAGCAAGATTACTCTCACCGACGCGTTGTAGGTCCGACCAACATTACGAAGACGCTAAAGATGACCCAGATCGGAAAAAAGCGCTCTGGCTTTCACTATACGTAAATTGATCCCATCACTCACGCCACCACCAGCACATACACAACTTCCCCGACACATGAACTTCTCGACTACCTCTATTTGCTCACTACCAAGAATGTGTGCAGGCATAGGGTTTTACCACCCCCGTAAAATTACTTTGAACTTAGGTGCGAAGTACTTGGGTATCGTCAAGCAATAAGACGATATCATCCGCATATTTAAGGCCGAAAAGTTTTTCTCCAAGTAATAGGTGCACACCATAATTACCTACATCCGTCAGAGCCATCTTTAGAACGTCATAGATGGCAAATTTGAAGAGGAATGGCGAGATTGGGCAACCCTAACTAACCCTACTGTTTGGATTAAATAATACAGAGAGGTATTTGTATGCCCTCACTATACCTGAGGTATTTGTGTACAAGGCTCTTAAGATGTTAATGAGCTGTTCAGACACATCATTCAATAGACAATCCTAGACAACAATCCTGTCCAGAGAGTTGAATGAGGACTTTTTGTCAAGAAACACAAATTATTGGCCCGGAGTAAGTATGAAGATGTTATAGCATTTGGTGGAGGGTGAAGATATGATCAACACATCCTCCACTAGCCTACTCTTGGTTTTTGGTCAGAAGTATTAGTATATCTTCCACTAAATTTGTGGGTGTAGTACTACATTTTATTTTGTTTTTCTAACCCTTCCCTCTGAATTATTTACTCAGTATGCTATTTTTAACACCTGAATTGATATTTTTTCATTTATTTGTTTTTAGCCTTGTTGATATCCTACCCTTATGTTAAAATTAAGTGGGGAAACTTGAGTCCCGACTCCTGTTGTTTATCTATGAATGATAAAGATGGGGAATATTTGTCGGTTGTACTCAAATAGACAGCTAATAAATCAACTCCGTCGGATGTCTAACAAACTCATCATCAATTATGAAATGATTTGACTAAAGGTACATTTCAACCCTTGACAGCTAACTGATGATTAGTCAGACGAAGGTGCATCTACTTCCTTCAATATGACATTTCTTCAAGTTGTTAATTTATCTTGCTTATGATGTTCAACTTTCAATTGTTTAAAATTGCGTCCTTCGAATCAAATAATATTGAAGAGGAACGTGATATTTTGTCCTACTCCCCTTTAACTCCATATATTACCTAGGCTAACCCCGTCTGTGACAGCGGCAAAAAGAAGTCAAATACGAGTGAAGTCGGAGAAACCCATTTTAGGCATTCGTTTATCCAGACAGATATTCAGAATAAGAAGAGGCAAAGAGGAGAGAGAAAAGCGAAACAAAATGACGCGTAGCGGAGAGGGCCAATGGGCCAACTTGATTTAATCAAGCGTATCTTGATATTTATGGTTAAACAAAAATAAGTTGCAGACACATGATGAATAGGGTAAGTAGTTAACACACATACCATAACACAAAAAGGTTAATAATCGAATAAGTGACAAGGTAAAAATGTGACTTGAGAAGAATGGATAAATTGTTCTGTCCAAGAGTTAAATAGCCTATGTGGGTTTGACAGCACCAACCACTACATGCACACTTAAGTAATAGACGCCCCCGAATACCCTGGTACGGCCGAGAGTGAGGAGAGTCCGCTCTCCCTCTCGAAATACTCTCACACGGCCACGCGTATACAGCCTCTGCCAGGGAAGTCCTACTCATTGCCTTCTCGTAGCGGGGGTGTTGTTTACGAAAATGAGAGGACGAAAAGCGAATGTTCGGCACTTTAACCGGATTGCAAACCAATGGTGCACATGGGCTCCAGTATCCTGTGGGAACAAATGGCATAGGAACCAATCGTTGGTCACCGGCTACCATGTGACTGCATCTCCTCACGATGCTCGACTGCCTTGTGGATCAGACCTTTAGGTCAAAGGCTCGGGGAGTGGCCCCCTAAGAAAACCACCTGTTTCGGTTTAGGCACCTGGGCAGTATCACAGCCCTCACACAAATGATGAACTCTCTATGTCTATGGAAACTACTTTTCTCGCTTCGAAAAACAATCAATTGATTCAAATTATTATCGTTACAATTATTGTCATTATTAATACTATTATTATTAGTACTATTATTGTCACTATTATTATTATTATTATTATTATTTTCCACATTATTCACCCTCTTTTATACTTATACAGCGGCTCGTCTTTGGTGGAAATTCGACTGTATCTAAACGTTCTCGAGTCACTGTCCGGTTGAAAATTGTATGTTACCACCGAATATGAGTACTGAAGCAATTTTTCTGAAACCACGTGCGCCATTCAAACTGGCTGCCTTCAACGTTCGCACACTTATGCAGGTTGGACAACAGATAGGGCTGGCTATGTCTTTGGAAAGTCTTAATATTGATGTTTGTTGTCTATCCGAGACCCGTATTCAAGACTCTGGTGAAGTACTACAAATTCGCTCTCGATCTGTCACTTCAAAAAGCTTAATTTACGTGCGCTTATCCGGGGACCCTGTGGCATCTTTGTCTGGTCTTGCTGGCGTTGGTGTCGCACTAAGCGCTAGAGCTGAGGCAGCACTAGTCGATTGGATCCCCATTAACAGTCGGTTATGTGCTGTTAGATTAGAAAGTTCCATCAAAGTGAGAAGAAATCGGCGTGAGAAACGATGTCTTTTCGTCATCTCCGCCTATGCCCCGACAGATTGCAGCCCGGATGCAATCAAGGATGAGTTTTACCACCAGTTATCTGTTCTTCTGCAGAAAGTGCGTTCGACAGATATTGTAGTAGTAGCCGGAGACCTGAATGCACAGGTCGGGCGTCTAGGCACAGAAGAGAATCGTTTAGGTGGCCGATGGGGACTTGTTGGTCGCAGGTCAGATAACGGGGACCGTCTACTGCAACTTTGCACAGACTACAACCTGTTTCTGGCTAGCACTAACTCTCGGTACAGTCATAGCCGATGTGCCACTTGGCGTCCTCCCTATGCATCTCAAGCCTGGACTCAGATTGATCACATCGCGATCAGCTACCGCTGGCGTGGTTGTGTACAAGACTGCCGCTCCTTTTGGAGTACCTATCTGGACTCTGACCATGCCTTGGTCTGCGCCAATCTTGCCTTACTTTTCAGTGGACAACGAAGTGACTGCCATCAACGGATTGATATTAGCAAGCTGGTTGCAACTTCTATTGCAAGTAAGTATCGAACCGAGCTAGCCTCTAGGCTAGCTACCACTCCACCGAAAAGTATAGATGAGCATTGGTTGCAATTGCATGACGCCATGGAAATGGCGGGTACAGTCAGCTGTGGGTTCGCGAAACGTCCCGCTTACAAGCACTGGGTTTCTGCAGGTTCCTTACAACTCGTTGAAGCCCGTCGGTCTACTCCGGGTGATCGTGAGTTTGACCATAAACGAAGGATGTTACGTAAGGAAATTGGGCAAAGCTTGCGTAAGGACCGAGAAGCCTGGTGGTCGAATCGTGCTAATGAGCTGGAAGCAGCAGCTGCATCTGGTAACTACCGGAAGCTCTTCCAGCTCATCCGAGCCACTGGCAGCAAGAAGTCTGGTGTGAGTGAAACAATCTGCGAGGATGATGGGATGCCAATCACTAACATCCATCGACGTCTTGGACGATGGGCAGAATTTTCCGAAGGGCAGTTCAGCTGGCCTGTTGCTCCGGCAACATCGGTCAGACTGTCCTGTCCTCCATGGCCGGTGACGACTGATCCACCAAACGAGGAGGAAGTCCGCAAGGAACTCCAACTCTTGAAGTATTACAAATCACCTGGCCCAGATGATTTACCTCCGGCTCTTTTTAAAGATGGTGGTGACTTTCTGACTAAAGAATTGACGATGTTGTTCACAAAGGTTTGGGAACTAGAGAGTGAGTCGATAGTTGTCCCTATCTTTAAAAAGGGTTCACGTCGTTCCTGTAACAACTATCGGGGGACAAGTCTACTTCCGATTGCGTCCAAGCTATTGGCTTCCGTCATACTTCGTAGGTTGTTCAAAACTCGAGAAAGATTGACTCGCGAGGAGCAGGCTGGGTTTTATTCTGGTCGAGGATGTATTGATCATATCTTCACCCTTCGCCAAATGTTAGAACACCGCCATACTTATCAAAGGCCAACAATCGTAGTGTTTCTTGACATCAGGGCTGCCTTCGATTCGTTGGACAGAACTGTTCTCTGGGATTGTCTATTGAAGAAGGGTGTGCCTGAGAAGTTTATTAACATCCTAAAAGCCCTATATACAAACACCTCAGGCAGAGTGAGGGCATACAACCACCTTTCTCCATTGTTCTATCCGAGCAGTGAGGTTAGGCAGGGTTGCCCAATCTCACAATTCCTCTTCAACTTTGCCATCGATGACATTCTGGAAACAGCTCTGATGAATGTAAGTAATGGCGGTGTGGATCTGTTGTTTGGAGAAAGACTTCTCGACCTTGAGTATGCGGACGATATTGTCTTACTGTGCGATAATGCCCAAGGCATGCAATCCGCACTTAATCAGTTGGCAATCAGTGTCCGTAGGTATGGTATGTGCTTTGCACCTTCGAAGTGCAAAGTACTTCTACAAGACTGACAGGATTCCAATCCTGTACTCACCCTGGATGGTGAGCAGATAGACGTAGTCGAGAAGTTCGTGTATCTGGGTAGCTGCATAAGTGCTGGTGGGGGTGTGAGTGATGAGGTCAATGCACGTATAGTGAAAGCCAGAGCGGCTTATGCCATTCTTATTTATTTATTTATTTATTTGAACACATAAATATTGGTACAAGAGAGCGCCAATATATATGCGCCACACAAAACAATGGGAATTCGAAGAGAAGTAGAAAGAAAAAAAAAGAAGAAAAAAAACTAAGGAACGCAAAAGAAAGAGAGAGTAATGACGAAGAGGTACAATCAGAAGAAATCTTTCAGTTAAGGAAGATACAACCACTTTTTTATGAAGAAAGTAAAAGAAGGTTACAGCAGGATCGCCACTGGCTTCTATTCTGAGCCATATCTGATAACGTCTCTAGCCACTGTGTAGCACCATCTCTCAGACCCCAACCAGGGAGTCGTGAAGGACCAACACAAGCCAGTCCTTTGCAGCTTTCTTTCATGCCACGACACCATGTCATGCACTGACCACCTCTCCGCTTCTTCCAACCAGTCCCAGAGTCGGCAAATAATGCACGACGTGGAATTCTCTGGGACGACATTCGGAGAACATGTCCAAGCCACCGAAGTCGGTGTTTCAAGATGGTGACACCAATTGAGTTATCATCTCTGTGCCCGAACACACGATGCCGAACCTCTGCATTACTGACTTGGTGTTGCCACTGAATGTCAGCAATCCTTCGGAGACAGCGATGATCGAACACAGAGAGTCGTCTAACGTCCTCAACTCGGAGAGGCCAGGTTTCACAAGCATAGAGCAAAACTGCTCTCACCGACGCGTTGTAGATCCGGCCTTTTACAGCCAGACTAACATCACGAAGGCGCCAAAGGTGGCCCAGATTGGCATAAGCCGCTCTGGCTTTCACTATTCGTGCATTGATCTCATCACTCACACCCCCACAAATGATGAACTCTATGTCCATGGAAATTACCTTATGCCATTCTGGGCCACCTTTGACGCCTTCGTGATGTTAGTCTGGCTGTAAAAGGTCGGATCTACAACGCGTCGGTGAGAGCAGTTTTGCTCTATGCTTGTGAAACCTGGCCTCTCCGAGTTGAGGATGTTGGACGACTCTCTGTTTGATCATCGTTGTCTCCGAAGGATTGCTGACATTCAGTGGCAACACCATGTCAGTGATGCAGAGGTTCGGCATCGTGTGTTCGGGCACAGAGACGATAATGCAATCGATGTCACCATCTTGAAACACCGACTTCGGTGGCTTGGACATGTTCTACGAATGTCGTCCCAGAGAATTCCACGTCGTGCATTATTTGCCGACTCTGGGACTGGTTGGAAGAAGCGGAGAGGTGGTCAGTGCATGACATGGTGTCGTGGCATGAAAGAAAGCTGCAAAGGACTGGCTTGTGTTGGTCCTTCACGACTCCCTGGTTGGGGTCTGAGAGATGGTGCTACACAGTGGCTAGAGACGTTATCAGATATGGCTCAGAATAGAAGCCAGTGGCGATCCTGCTGTAACCTTTTTTTACTTTCTTCATAAAAAAAAGTTGTGTCTCCCTTACCTGAAAGATTCCTTCTAATTGTACCTTTCCGTTCCCTCATTACTACCACACTACCTTACACCAATCTCTTCGTTATTGTTCTCTTTTTTTGCGCTCCTTAGCTTTTTTTCTATTTCTCTTCGAATTCTCATTGTTTTGTGTGGCGCATATATATTGGCGCTCTCTTGTACCAATATTCATGTGTTCAAATAAATAATAAATAATAATAAATAAGTAATAGACTGAGGTGGATGCTGAGGCAAACATTTACAGAGGAAACCCAGATTAAAAATCTGGATACATCATTAACTAATATGGCTTGTTCATTAAGTCCATGTCTAGGCACTTGAATTTAAGACACACTGAGCAGGATAATGATGGAAAATGATTCCTAAAATCGAAGTATTTGGGACCGGACTGAAACCCCAATAAATCATTGATCTACATCCAAGTGTGAGTCCAAATCAACAAAGGACACTGTTTCCCTGTAGAATAATAAAATTATCCTCTTATTACTATGTTGCTAACAAATCAAACGGTACATGACCCACTTTATTTACTGATTCAAGTCAAAACACTGAAAAGGAACCAAAAAATAAGAAATTCGCATTGTGGCGAAAAATCATTGACGCAATTCTCGCTATTTTACTGAAAATGGTAGTATAATATTCCACGTTTTGAGTAGATTGAGTGCCTAAATATATTTGGAATTTTTAAAACTAATACTGTATCTAGGAACACGCATCAAGTCACTGGTATACTTTACAAAATGAAAGCAAATATGTGCACTCAAACACGATTATATGCTGCAAAGTATTAGGTTATGGAGACGGAGAAATAAGTCATACCTTCTATCAGCAACGAGGAAACAGTATTGAAAAACGAACCACAAACAACCTTTTTTAGAATATGTAAACTGGAGTAATATTCCAGAAAAACCGGATGATGCATGTCAAAACAGTAATAAATTCACCACAAAAGTCTGAAACACGAGTATGTAGCAAAGCAGATGTACATTTATACCAGGTCGAGGTTATTAAAACTGATTTGGATTCACCTACGAATTGGTGAGGAGAAAAAGCGCTACAACGACTAGTGAGACCACATTTTTGATTACGATTCCTATAATGGAATTCTGAATCGCGACCAAACCCATCCAAGGTCACAGAAGATCTTCCAAATTCCAGCTTCTGAAATGGGTGAGCGGTTAATTTCAAGTATGGACATGGTGTGATGAACAGAAACGCTATTTGTTTTTAATCTACACAGAGTCTGACACAAATGTACCTCAGTCCAAGTTGATAAACCAAATAAACTCGAGGAAATGAAGTTAGAAAAATAAAATTATAAGGGTGAAAATAATAATGAAATCAGTCAGTGAGAAAGAATACAGTTCGAAGGGAGTGGGTGGATTTGGGGAATAAATATTATAACGTGAAGTTGAAGCTTAAGATTTCGGGAGAAAGTGAAGACGACTGTGCCAGTTACCAAAACGGAAACATTTTCTGGGAAAACTCTTATGAATAGTGACCACTTCACAGTAACCCGAGTGAGAATACGGTTGCGATAAGCTAATGTGATGGAGAAAAACGTAACAAAGATACGTTACGCCTACGAAAATTCGCCATTTACGGAACCAAATAGCCACACAGACAGATAAGGGACAAACTATAAGTATCGTCGCCATAATAACCACAAGTACAGTACAAAAGATAAAATGGACAACCCAGGACTTTCTTGTAGGACTTAGTAGAGACAATCTTCACAAAACGTTAAGACAACAAATACCTAATAAGGTGAAAAATCAACTCACCCGCTCTTTAGTAAAACAGTTTGCTTTCACCCTCAAGATTCAATACACGACTGAAAGATATGAAAATATGAAACAATAAGCTACAGATTAAAAAACCAGAAAATAATGTGCAGTTCGTCGTTAATATTTCTTGCTACCACAGTCCTAGTTATGTGTTGAAGGGTTTTAAGAAGCAGCTTTCAAATGGTTCAACTGGTTGTGGACGGAACAGAAGAAGCTTTCGCTTAACAGGCTTCCGTGTTTAGTAGCAGGGGATCACCAAATCCTCCAGGCAGGAACCTGGGTATGTTAACAGTAAAAGAGGAAAAAGTAATTGATAAATCATAGTATGATGTTGTCGTTGGTCCTTAAGGATGGGTCAAGTTGCCTCTTGAAGGAAGTCGCTTGGACTAGCTCGGCCGGCAGCGAGTTCCAACATTTGACAACTCTTAAGCAATAGAATTTATCTCTACATTCCGTTTTCCTATGTTGTGTCTCCAGTTTCTGAGTGTTACCCCTTGGGTTAGTGTTCGAACTGAGCTTAAGTAGGTGTTTAAGAGGATGTCCAGAAGTGTTGAGAATACTATAAGCCATTAATAGATCACCTCTAAGACGTCTATACTCTAATGGGTAAAGGTCCAGTGAATGGAGGCGCTCTTCGTAAGGTTTAAATGTGAGTCCTCGAACTGATTTCGTGGCTCGCCGTTGATACGCTTCAAAGTGTCCTTATCCTTTTGGAGTGAGGGGGGAAGTACTATGTTTCCGTACTCTAAGTGGGGACGGATGAGACTATTGAAGCTTTAACGAAACATATTCCCAAAAAGTGAAGTACTCTAAAAGCTTTCATTTCCATATAATATCAAAGAGAAGTAAAGCTATATTCCCACTCCTCAGATTGCTGGGTGGCAGGCAGAAAAAATAGTGGTATTTGAGTCCTCAGAAAAAATAGCGTGTAAGCATTCGGCACTGATGCTTACAATCTTAGTTTTACTGGACAAACCATTGGCTGAATGGTCTTGGTCAAACGTGCACAAAAGATTATATTTTAATTGGGCGTGGAAGTCTATTCCAATACGATTCCTTTGTTTACCATTCAATATATCTTTCCCTTTAATTACACTGTACTTCATTTTTCAGCTTTGTGATAATTTAGTTAGAGAGGCTCAAACACTTGTGCCCCCTCAGATCCTCCTGCATCCATTTTCTCTTCGTTGCTGTGCCTGACTTGGTCTGCTACACCTAAGTATGTTCTCCGAATCTGTTCCTTCCTCTGATATTCAACATGATCATTAATATTTTTATCCTAAACTTGCCAAAGTACGAAGTCCCTCGTCCCTATTCAACAAATCATGTCGTTTCGGGATAATGACACGGGAGCCTGGTTCTTTTGTACAGAAGCAGTTTTTACTCGCATGGTACAGTTCCTCATTGTTGCCAAACTATTACCACACGAATCAACCAGGTATGTCTCACCGAATGTTCTTCTTTACCACTACAACGAACCATACAAAAATGTTGAAAAGGCTACTTATGGACGAGGGGAATATATTGTAGGGCCAGTGAGATGTCACTAAGCCCTAGACAAATCATCCACCAGGCAGACCACTGAATGCCCATCAGTTTGTCGACACCCATCAAGGTCATTCAACGGATACCAATCAACTACTAGCCGTGAACTGACCATGCGGCAGTGGTTACACTCGGTTTCCCCTACCTATCCTAACCAATACATCTTTCCAGTAACGTTATGTTCGTTCTATATGGTCACTAAGATAGCCACAGTATCTGGATAATACAAGAGGGTTTTTCACCCTGCTTAATAACTTTGAGGTGTGGCTTCGAGGTAATCTAGAGAGTCACACCATTTTCGTTCAACTCGCATAGGCCGCCATCATCCACAAAGACCACCTGTATCGTAGGTTTGCACTGTTAACAAAATTTGTGCTAATTTAATTTCACTGTTGAATTGGAACACGATTTAGTGACAGGAGTCCTATCAAGAATGAAGGAATGAATCAGCTAACATCGTCAGTTGAGGGCCTCTTCAGAAAACCCTTTTAATACTGGCCTTCTCGAAATGTTCCGCCCATTAATTTGGGTAAAATAATGCATCTCAATAGGTTCTATCAGCCTATCGAACTTTGGAGATCACCACGTGTTGCGTATGCCTGAATATCGATTACCATGACGTTCAATGCTGACTAGTGTTGGAGACGGTTGGAAGAATGTTAAGGTCGACCAAACCAAAATGAGGGATCAATGCTTGAAGTCACTAACTACTGGTCTGAGCCATGTTGATAGATACAAACTACTTGGTTGGGGTCCGCACGACTATTGTAGCTAATGATTGGAGACTCTGGGTGATATGGCTCAGAATCGATCACAATGGTGTAGGTGTATACACTCTCTGTCTTCCCTGAAACTAAGAGATCAAAATCGCTTCATGTCTTTCTTTCTATGAACTAATTCTTTCTTCCGGTACCATATCCTTATATGCAATCTTTCTTTTATATATTATCATCATTGAATTAACTACTTTTATGAATCCGGTGTTCATCCAATTGTGCTAATGAGGTACAGCAAATTGGATCGATGTATGTATGTGTCTGATTTCACGTTGTTGCTGACTGACTGATTATTTTTAACCACGATAAACCTTTGTCATAAGGAGTAAATATACATTATGTTTTTGAAAATCATCAAGTGATTTAATAAATAATATTAAACTATTAAAGTAATTAGGCATTACAAACAAATAATTATTTCGATAAAAATTTGATGATAAGATTATTAAGCATATATATTAACAATATCATTGTGGCGAGACTATAATTTATGAAAAAACCAATCACGTATAAAATTATAGGATTTGGGCACGAAGTTCACTCATCCATTTGGTTAAATAGAGTTTTGGCATTATAACTGGTGTCAGTTCGTGATGAGAACCCTAAATCTAATCCTTAACCAGAATTATCACCTGTAAAACATAATTCTAATTCTTCGCGCAGGTTTATGACCCTCATTTTGTCCTAGGTGTTAGGTGGACATTACCAAGGTCAGTCTAGAATCGCTGAAAGGTCGTTCAGCATTATTTGGTTTTAGATAGCAAATCTACCGATTATTAGTTTGTCAACTGCAATAGAGTCTGGAAATCTAAGTTTAACAATGATGTCTTTCTCGTCAAGAAAACATCACAAACTTTTCTAAAAATTGCAAACTATAAAAAGCTTTTTGGCCTTTTTATTCTTAAAATGACTATTTAGAACGTTCCGATAAGGTGTTTTGTGCAATAAATCTTCCTGATCATGCAAAAATGCAAACCATGACTGATGTTAGCTGCAAAAAGCCTGACTAAAGCATCTCTAGACGGTAAAAGGATGATTTAGTTAGAAGATATCATAACAAATTTCATTAAAATGCTTAAGAATAACCGGTTTAATAGGTTAACATATAAATAGTATTTCGTACTCAGATGAATAATAATCGAATAGCAAAGCAACCAATTATCGTTTGTTCAGTTTCAGGTACCAAGTGGTCAGGAACCAATACCACTACATATTTGCCTGAACGCCATTTGACTCAAACCCATTGACCTGATCTTAGTTATCGCAAACTCCTTAAGGCTTAGCAACGGCAGTGACATCCCGAAACGTCAACATCTATTCGTCAATACTAGTAAACGAAAGCTGATGGGTGAAAACACCTAACTATTAGCTTGTTACACATCATCTTTTGGCTTCAACTTATTTTTGATATGAACCAGGCAGACATTTGATTTGTACTTCTGATTGTTATTGAATATTTATCCCGAACTGCCAAAATAATAATGCGTAACCAGCAATATTGCAAATCACATTACAACTACAGAACTACTTGTACTGTCGAATACACTACGGCTATCTCCTGTTAAAACCAAGAATGATGGAAGATCGATTAAACTATATGATGAACTCGGAAGTTGTTTCGGGGCATTTTGACAAAAATATAGTCAAAAAAGATGTCAACAACTCAAGTAAGAACCTCTCTGGATCAGGCAAATTAAAATCAAACCTTGTCTTTATAAATTGGTTTAAAAATAGCATTATACAATCTTCGCCATCCTTGCCCTCGTACTTGATCATATCATCTCACGATCTGTACAATAAAGAGAATTTTATCGATCATCAGAACTTTCACATTTTTGTTTTCCTCCCTTCACTATTTTCTCCCGAAAGTCAACTCAGTGTTCTTTTAGATATCACATAGCCTATTTAAAATATGGTAAATATTATGTTAGTATTATCGAAACTTATGTATACTTAGATTTGTGATGAGACCTGAAATGGTTTTCGCTGTAACGGACGGTGTCCAATATCTGATGCTAATACACCTTGTGCTAAGTGCTAACCCCTTAACTGACTGCTTGAGAGAGAGCATAAAACTGAACGAGAAAGTGATTTGGACTACCGAATGAAATGCACAAGTATTCATATATATATATATATATATATATCACTCCCAACTTTTGGAATTGACCCATTTTGATCCCACTGAAATGCACTTGACTTTCAGGTCACTTCTGACTGCCACCAATCTACTTTTGCTATTTCTGTATGGCTTACCATATCAGTTTCTTCACAAAACCCATGTACCAATGGGTTCTTTGTAAATAATAATATCTTCATTAGGTAATTATGGGACGCTTTGGAGATTTGTATACAAGAAGTGTTCTAAATTTTGGTTGTGTAAATCGTTTTTTAGTAACACTTTATGTTTTATGCCTATTTTGTATAAATCATAAATATAACCCTTGTAATTAGAACCGTGTTCAACATAAAATGTGAGTTTCGTACTTACTTGCAGGAAAGCACGAGTTCTTAAGGTTTTACTATAGATCATATTGTATCCAGGCTATATCACATTTTAAGCTTCATTGTGACGCTATCATCAAGGAATTCTTGGCGCATTGTGGAGGAATTGTAGTTACAGCCACCTTGAATAAGACTGATTACTTAAAACGTTTTCACTGAATTCATCCAACTTTTAGCGTTTAGATTTC